CGAAGAAGTTAATAAATGTGTGAAATCATCTGACATGGGGCTCCCGACCCGCCGAGTCTCTCTAGGACCGTGTAATGTCTCATGTGACGTTATATGATGCGGCGCTGACACACCGGATACAATAATAACAATGATATTCCGCTTTGTTACAATGCTGCTAATAACAGAAATATAAAAGTTTACATTGTAATAAACAATCAGCTCTTACCTCTCCGCTCCGAGGTGGTCGCAGTCTTAGTGGCGGCACGACTGAACTTGAACTGATCCTGAAAAGCCTAAAAATAAAAATCACACGATAAATATAAACTGTTTTTCTTTATTTATATAAAAGTCGAACTCCGGACACACTGAATAATATTTCCTACATACAAGCCGTGTGAGTACGACCTGCTATCAGCCATTCGCAGCCCCAGTTAAGCAGAGCTCAGACTGGGGGAGGGAGAAGCAATGAGCCAATCAGTTGTGCTACAGTGCTCATGTGTTAAGGGGGCATGTTGATAGGAGGAGAGAGCAGAGTGACAGAGAAAAAAGCTCATCAGTCTGCTGCTTCCTCCTTTTACCGTCCAATCACAGGGTAGGGGTGGGAAGGGGACCTGTAAGTGTTACTGAACTGCAGCAGAGAAACTATACTGTCTCCTCCCTGACAGTCAGGGCTGTGTATTGTTTGCCTGGAGTTCAGCTTTAACCCCTTCATGACTGAGGCCTTTTTTTGCCCATTTTTTTGCACCCATGGTATATTCCACATTTTAGGCCTGAAAATTACTAAAAACCCTCCAAACATGATATATTTTCTGAAAGCCAAGACCCTATAGAATAAAATGATGGCAGTGTGATCTACAAGAGACCCAAAGATCTACGGAGCATGATAGCACCCAGCAAATTAAAATCCACCAAAAATATGAATTTTGGGTAAAGGACTTTTTGGACAGACAGGCTGCTACAAATGCAATATTCACAATTGCGGAGCCTGTCCTTATTTCTGGCATAGAAAGAAGGAAGTCCTCATCCCCAGTGGTAAAAGCTTTCCAATTCGACAATTTATCAATTGTGCCACTCAGTATGTTATATATGGGATTGTCTGTCCCTGCGGTAAACTATACGTAGGGCGGACCATCAGGACATTAAGGACGAGGTTTGGGGAGCATAAGAGGAATATCCTTAAAAAGGTGACTGAACACTCTCTCCCTAGGCACTTCATAGAGGCACACAAGTCCAATCCTGAGGGATTGAGAGTTTTCGGGGTTGAGGCCATTCCCGACAATCCAGACGAGGGTATAAGATTCAAGCGTTTGTGCCACAGGGAGGCTTTTTGGATATATTCCCTAAATAGCCTACACCCGGTAGGTCTCAATGAGGGCCTAGAGTTGACCTCATCCCTATGAGCATCACATTACCCCAGTGGTAAAAGCTTTCCAATTCGACAATTTATCAATTGTGCCACTCAGTATGTTATATATGGGATTGTCTGTCCCTGCGGTAAACTATACGTAGGGCGGACCATCAGGACATTAAGGACGAGGTTTGGGGAGCATAAGAGGAATATCCTTAAAAAGGTGACTGAACACTCTCTCCCTAGGCACTTCATAGAGGCACACAAGTCCAATCCTGAGGGATTGAGAGTTTTCGGGGTTGAGGCCATTCCCGACAATCCAGACGAGGGTATAAGATTCAAGCGTTTGTGCCACAGGGAGGCTTTTTGGATATATACCCTAAATAGCCTACATCCGGTAGGTCTCAATGAGGGCCTAGAGTTGACCTCATCCCTATGAGCATCACATTATATACATTATATTCATTACCAAATCCTGGAGTGCTGACATCTATAACTGGGGTGGGCTCATTACATGCCTGGTCTAGCCCAGACCAGGCAATATATTATGGTGTTCCAGACTCTCCACTATACTAGCTAATATTGATCCTCATACAAATTATATAATCCATTATATCCATGTATTAACAATAAAAACCCTCTAATTTCCTTGCAGCCCTCTAAAAGTTATAGATATATCTGTTGATTATGACTCAGGGCTGGTCACCACTCTAATAAACTCTAATAAATTGTAATGTTTATTAATTTTTTAATCCAACATTAAGTCTTATTCTCTAATTTATAAACAAGTATTATTATTGTTTTATCAGGTGCCAACTAATACATTCAACTAGCAGCACCCATGTTTCCATCATTTTCTCTGTTCTCAAATCATTTCTTTTTTATCCGAATTATTTTAACTAATCTAATATGTTTAACCTTTCACCTATTAAGAGGTCATAGACTACAGGTACTCATCTAGAATTAAATTTGACACTCCCACACGGCCAAGACACATTAATGCCGACAATTTATTCATACGCATCTTATTTACATTTTTTTCATTGGTTGTTTTTACAAATTGATTTTTAAAATTGATTTCATTAATTCCATGCATATTCATATATATAAACATCATTCTCCTATACACATACATGGTTTATTTATGTCTGTCTCAGATAGGGGTTATGTATATCCCATCTGGTCCCAATTTTATATATCTGTGAAATACTGGCCCCAGAATTATTGCTCTCACTCCGGCGATACCCAACATGTGTAGCGTGTTCATCGTTTTCATGCGTAGGCGCACCCGACGGGTGTTTACGTGGCGACGCGCGTGCTCGCGGGGGACTTTTAAAACAATTTTTTACATTATTTTTAGATTTATTTTATTTAATGTTAATTTTTAAAAAAACTGTTTTTTTTTTACTTTGATTGCTATCACATAGAGGGGCTTACAAGCCCCCCCATGTGATAGCTTAAGGTGGCGACAGGTACTCTTTAAGGTGATGCTGGGGGTCCAAAAGTCCCCTCGTGTCACCTTTACACTCTAAATAAGCTATTGAAGTGCAGATCGCAGGCTTCAGGAGCCGACCAATGACAACCCAGGGACCGGAAGTGATGTAATCGGCATCGCTCCCGGTCCCATAGTGCGGAGGTTTGTCCATCTCCTCCCCAGCTTCCTGCCGACACCACAGAAGCCGCTCCCAGGCCCGTAGGAGGGACAACGGAGCCCGGGAAGCACGGTCGGGTGTTGGGTGGGGGGTGACAGCTGAGTCACCAGAATCGCTTCGACTGGAAAGCCGACAGTCGGCTCTACAAGTTTAAACCCGGAGTCCCCGGCGGCAGCCTGTTTAAACAGCCCCAATGCCATACAATGCACATCGCTGGTCGTGAAGGGGTTAAAAACATAGCAGGCCTGTATTTAGCAAAAGTTGAAAACACATTGGGGGGGGGGAATTTATCAAGACTGGAGCAGACAAAATGTGGAGCAGTTGCCTATGGCAACCAATCAGCTTCTCTCTTCTGTTTGTTCAGTTAAGATTTGAAAATGAAAGAGAGAATCTGATTGGTTGCTCCACATTTTGATAAATTCCCCTCACTGACACCCATCAGGCCCCATCTGTGAACTCACTGCAGCTCTTCCTAAACTCCAGAAATGTCCAACTACTGACAAGTGACGAGTAAAATGTTCATCTTTCTCCATTGCCTTTCATTTGGATGACAATATTTTTCAGTATTAAAAAAACAAACCAATATAATAAAATGTCAGACGTTCTTCACCCAGAAACAATGTAACGTGCCGCATGGTCATAGACACACATAGCTCCCAACTGTCCCTCTCTCCTCCTCAGCTGTCCCTCTCTCCTCCTCAGCTGTCTCTCTCTCCTCCTCAGTTGTCCCTCTCTCCTCCTCAGATGTCCCTCTCTCCTCCTCAGCTGTCCCTCTCTCCTCCTCAGCTGTCCCTCTCTCCTCCTCAGCTGTCCCTCTCTCCTCCTCAGCTGTCCCTCTCTCCTCCTCAGCTGTCCCTCTCTCCTCCTCAGCTGTCCCTCTCTCCTCCTCAGCTGTCCCTCTCTCCTCCTCAGCTGTCCCTCTCTCCTCCTCAGCTGTCCCTCTCTCCTCCTCAGCTGTCCCTCTCTCCTCCTCAGCTGTCCCTCTCTCCTCCTCAGCTGTCCCTCTCTCCTCCTCAGCTGTCCCTCTCTCCTCCTCAGCTGTCCCTCTCTCCTCCTCAGCTGTCCCTCTCTCCTCCTCAGTTGTCTCTCTCTCCTCCTCAGCTGTCCCTCTCTCCTCCTCAGCTGTCCCTCTCTCCTCCTCGGTTGTCCCTCTCTCCTCCTCAGCTGTCTCTCTCTCCTCCTCAGCTGTCTCTCTCTCCTCCTCAGCTGTCCCTCTCTCCTCCTCGGTTGTCCCTCTCTCCTCCTCAGCTGTCCCTCTCTCCTCCTCAGCTGTCTCTCTCTCCTCCTCAGCTGTCTCTCTCTCCTCCTCAGATGTCCCTCTCTCCTCCTCGGTTGTCCCTCTCTCCTCCTCAGCTGTCCCTCTCTCCTCCTCAGCTGTCCCTCTCTCCTCCTCAGCTGTCCCTCTCTCCTCCTCAGCTATCCCTCTCTCCTCCTCGGTCGTCCCTCTCTCCTCTCTAGCTGTTACACACAATGCAGTTTGGTTTATCACAGAACTCCGCCCTCTGTATTCACAGACAGTGATCAGGATCGAGCTGTATCATTTTTGTCTAACCTGGTAGGTGGCGCTGTCTTTGGGGTGAATGACAAAATACACGTCCAGCTGCTTCTGCTGTCCTCTGGCAAAGTCCAGCGCCGTCTCCAACATGACTTTAGCCACATTCTGTTTGGGGAGGCCGACATTCCCCGTCCCCAGCGCCGGAAAAGAGATGGAGCGACTCTGATAGACATCTGCTGCGTGCAGACATTCTTTGGTGGCCTGAGCCAAAACCTGCAACAAGATGGGAGATAATGGAGCAGATGATAGTAAAGATGATGGAGGAGGTGAAGGAGATGTTTGAGGAGAAGATGGAGATAGATGATGTGGGAAATGGTGGGGAGATGATGTGGTTGTTGATGGTGAAGACGATGGAGAAGGTGATGGGGGAGATGATGGTGAAGATGATGGAGGAGTTGATGGGGGAGATGATGAAGGTGATGAAAAAGATGATGAGGAAGGAGATGATGATGGAGGAGATGATGTGGGAGATGATGTGGTTGTTGATGGTGAAGACGATGGAGAAGGTGATGGGGGAGATGATGGTGAAGATGATGGAGGAGATGATGGAGATGATGGAGGAGGTGATGGGGGAGATGATGTGGGAGATGGTGGGGAGATGATGGGGGGGTTGGTGG